GAGCTAGTGCACTTTCGCTCACAGTGGGCCTTCTTGTCAGCGTGTCGTTCCATCTCCCCATAGTGTACCAGCGGACCACGCGGAAATTGATCGTAGGCAAGACGATCCATCCCGAGGTGTATCTACCCATGTGCATTTTCGGCAGCTGCTTGTTGCCCACCGGCCTCATAATCTTTGCCTGGACGTCTACGTTATCGGTGCACTGGATAGCGCCGATGATTGGCGCCGGAACCTACATGTGCGGGTCGTACATTGTGTTTCAAACGTTGTTCAACTACATGGGGATGTCGTTCCCCCGCCACTTGGCGTCGGTGTATGCGGCCAACGGGCTTCTCCGGTCGATGATGGGCGGGTGCTTTGCGCTTTTTGGCACTGCCATGTTCAACAACTTGAGCACGCCGAAATACCCCGTTGCGTGGGGCACGATGATCTTGGCGCTCATCTTGATTGCGCTTATCCTGGTGCCTGTGATGTTCTACCTCCACGGGCCGCAGCTCCGGGCCAAGTCCAAGTATGCCGATGCGTGAATGTCGAGCCGAGACGTGAGTATGACCCAGTGGAGGAATGGAGTATAAATGGGAGGATAGTGGAGAATAAACGAGAGAAATAATAAGCGAGAAGAGAATAAACGAGGAGAAAATAGAGAAAAGATGAGGAGAAAAATAAAGGGGAAGAAGACAGAGTAAATGAGCAGGGACGTGAAGTATACTGAAGCAGGAGGGTGCGTATATTGGAGCCGAGAAGTGAGAGTATGACCTAGTGGAGATCTAGAGTATAAATGGGAGGAAAGAAGAGAATAAACTAGAAAATTATAAATGGGAAGAAAGTAGAGAATGAACGAGATAACTAATAAACGAGAAGAAATTAAACGAGGAAAAATAAACGAGGAAAAATAAACGAGGAAATAGAGTATAGATGAGAAGAAAAATAAATGAAAAGAAAACAGAGTATAAACGAGCAGGGACGTGAAGTATACTGAAGCAGGAGGGTGCGTATATTGAACAGAGAAGTGAGTATGACCTGGTGGAGATCTAAAGCATACACTAGAAGAAAGTAGAGTATAAACAAGAAGAAAGTAGAGGACAAACGAGAAAACATTGAGTGCAGCAGAGGGCTGCCGGGACTGGCGTGTCTGTGCCCCGGCAGCCTGCTCCATGGGCTGGCTCATGTAGTCTCGGTATTAAATCAGGCCCAGCGCAGTGCCAACAATCAGGCCCAGCACGGTGCACTGATCAGGCCAGGCACGGCTGGGCGCGCGCCTGTCGTTTGCAGCTTTGGCTGCGGCTGCGAACTGGTCCGGAGACAGGCCCCACGCCCGCGACAGGCCCTGGACATGCCAGAGCAGGCCCGTGGGGGCATACCGTAAACCCCCAGCAATTGCGGTCGGGCCGACCCGAAAAGCCCCGCCCCAGCCGGCCCAGTGCAAACACACATGCCTGACTCCCGCGGGCTATATATTGGGCCGTCGCCGCCCCCTCCCCCCCCCTCCCCTCGAAAATTGCAGAATCCGAAAGCCCGACCCCCCGGCCGCCCGCGCCCTGCCTCCCCCACCGCGCGCGTCCTCCATCGACCGGCCCACCTCAGCCCAAACCTCCCGCCCCATACTCTTGGGTTCTTCCTCCGCCCCAGCGCCCACACCACCACCCCGCCTGGAAATCCGGCCCCACCCCCGCCCCCGGCGCACGCAACCCCCCGGCCCTGACAACCGGCTTTTCCACCCCTGTGCATCCGACACGCGGCCGTCTCCCGCCGCCGTTCTGTGCCCTCGGTCCACGTTGCAGTACCCTCGGCCCATCCGCTCCGTCCCTGCCTTTCTCCGTGCACGCTGGCCCCGCAAGCACCGTAAGGCGCGGCCATCGAAACTCCGCGTCCTCCGCGAGGTATACACGGACTACAAGGCGCTCCGCGGGCCCCGCCTCGGCTTCTGGGCTCGCCTCGCCGCCACCCCTACCCTGGCCATGGCCCCCGCCCAGACGCGCACAGAACTGCCCCCGGCGCCGGGCAGCTTTGCTTACGGCGCCGGCGCCGGCACCGGCTCCACGTTGGTCAGCGCCAGCAGCAGCACGCCGCCCACGTTGCGGCCGGCGCTGCCGCCCTCGCCGCACGCCGCCAGCTCGCGGCGGCAGCGCTTGTTGGGCTTTGCCCGCGCCACGCGCGACACATACATCCCGCGGCTCGCCACGCTGGTGACGCTGCTCGCGTCCGGCGTGGCGCCCCGCTCGCTGGACCTCCAGTACGACGAGTCGGGGCTGCCGGTGGTGTTTCCGAGCGACACCTCGTTCACGCTTTTCCCGTCGTACACGCGGCTCGTGTCCGCGCGGGACTCGCCCACGGGCCACGAGGGCTACCTCCTCAGCGTGCGCGGCTGGATGTGGTGCCCGGGGCTCATGTCGCGCAAGAACAGGCTCGTGCTCTCGCTTGCCAAGCAGGTCACCAAGGGCCGGTCCTCGCGCGCGGCGCAGAGCGCCGTGGACCAGCTCAACGGCGACGCGGGCCTCGCGCCGGACGCGCCCCAGGCCGCGCCGGATGACTTCAACGACAGCGAGTCGCTCGCGTCGGCCTCCAGCGCGGCCAGCTCCGGCAGCAGCGACGTCCCCTCCGCGGACCAGCTCATCAAGGAGCGCTTGGGCGCGTTCATCGCGCGCTCGGTCGCCAAGGCCCACTTGGCCGTGGTCGTGGGCGCGGCCGACCCGACGAGAGCCGGCCCCTTGTGCGAGAAGCACGTTGTCACGGACCTCAACGGCCACTTCGAGTGCGACATCTTCACGCCCTATGAGCCCTCCGTGTTCCAGGTCACCTCCACCACCGACGAAACGGTCACCGCGTGCCAGGAAGTGCACATCTTGCAGACCTCGGGCTTCGGTGTCATCAGTGATATCGACGACACCGTGAAGCTCACGGGGGTGATTGGTGACAAGAGGGAGTTGCTCAGCAAAATCCTCGTGGGGAACATCCACGCCTGGAACATCCCGCAGGTCGTGGCGTGGTACCAGGACATCTTTTCCCGGCTTGACGCTTCCTTCCACTATGTCTCGAACTCCCCCTGGCAATTGTTCTCGTTGATTAGCCAGTACTTCGAGCACGTCAAGCTTCCGCGCGGCTCCTTCCACCTAAAACAATACTCGGGCAACATTATCGCCTCCCTCATGGAACCGTCCTCGTCGCGGAAAAGCCTGACTCTCCAAAAGATCTTGAGGGACTTCCCCAACAAAAGGTTCATTTGCATAGGCGACTCCGGAGAGCAGGACATGGAGGCGTACACGGATTTGGCCAGACTACACCCGGATAGAATCGCTGCCATCTACATACGAGCAGTGCCAAACTCCTTCTCTAGTGTCGACGACTCAAAGGTCTTGAATGAGCTCAAGTGGATGACTTCGGACTGGGAAAAGCGCCAGACCATCAAATCAGGGAAAAGGTCCGCCCCGGGATCCCCCGATCTAATTGACCTCTCGGACAGCGAGGCTGCTGACCCTGTTCCAAAACGCTTGACAAGGCTCCCTCCAATGGTACCACGGAAGCCAACAGCGCTCAAAGGCAATGCGATTCGAAAGCTCCCCCCTCTACCTGAGAGAAGATACATGTTATCCAATGAACACCCAAATTCAGATCCAGAAATTAGTGGCAGCGTCTCCTCAGGTCTGGGTCCCTTCAGCACTCTCCCAACAAAATCGCTGACGCTACCGCCCCAATCGAAGCTCGCCACACCTCCTCCTCCGCCACCTCCTCCCTTGAGACGCAAAAAACCACCTGTGGATGATATGGGATTCAAGCCTGTTACAAGTATAACTACTGAAAAGGCCGGAGACAATCTGTCATTGTCTTATGGTGTAAACGATTTTTTCGAGCCAGAAGACGTTGATGGCAAAGCAGCTTTGTGGATACAAAGGCTACATGAATGTCTTCATAACTTGGATGGAACCAACACCAAACTTGCATTCTTCGAAGATTCGGATGAGGACTTCTTCAAATCCGCCCTCAAAGACTTGTAGATTGATTTGGACTTTGTCTCTTCAACAATCAGCAACTCTATGTGTTGTTCCATATATTACATCTAATCAAAATCTTTGACTATAAGACCCGTAGAGATCAATGAGAGAAGTCGATGGACGATGCAACCGCTTCTCAATGCTACACCCCATTCCTCATGCACTTGCGACTGCCAGTGTCGTACCGTCGTTTCCACTTGTCCCCTCATCACCGAAAGCATCATACAGAGGACCATCACCGTAGTCCTTGAACTGTGGTTGCTCTCCTTCGGGCAAGGCTTTTCTGAACTCAGACAAGTCCATCTCGTCTCCCTGTTCGCTGTCTTCCTCTTTGTAGAACTTGTCAGCATATTTCTTGACCAATATCTCTTTACCGGTCAATGGTCTCTTTCCAGATTGTTGATCCTTCTTCTTTTCTTCTTCCTTCTTGGCTTGTTGCTTCAACTTCCATTCTTTGAATGTCTTCAAAGTGATTGGTGTGAACAGGCTCTTGTCTAATCTGCCTCTTTCCAACTCAATGAACTCCTCCAATGTGATTTGAGGTTCTGAATCCTTGGCCAACCTTTCTAGTCTCTTCTGTTCCTTGGTTTTCAAAACGAAACCAGGAGGCAACGAGTGTCTGTACATACATTCGTTTCCGCCATTAGGACACGTCCAAAACCAACCATACTTGTCATTTTCAACAGCTTCAATAAAGAATTTACAGACCTTCTCTGTAGTCGTCTTTGGGTTACCGTGCTTCGACATAATCACTTTCCTCAACTTCTCCTCATCCCAGTTGTCCATAGTATCCTCCTCCTTCTCTGCTCTGGCATCGGTATACAAGTCCTTCTTAGCATCCTTTCTGCCGACGTTAGGGTCGTGAGAAAATTTACATTTGGGGCCTTTGGTACACACACCCTGCCTGAAAAATTCGCATAGAATGGATTTTGGATCGACACCAAAAGGAACTTTTTGTTGTTGTATACCAAACAATTTAGCGGCCTCAACCTTGGCTTGTTCGGCCGCCTTCTTTTCCTCTGCTTTTCTTTTTTGCTCGGCTTCCCTCTTCTTGGCCATTCCTCCGTCTGCTCCATCTTTCATTTGATGAATTTGACTCTGGACTCTCTTCGACTTATTTTTGTTCTTCATTCCGAATCCTTTGTCTTCGGCAGCCTTGGATTTGGCCGTAGCCTTGGCTTTGTCTGGTCCTTGTTGCTTTTTAGGGGGCATGTTGGTCTAACAAATACTATTAACTGTTGCTCTCTTCCACTCTTTTTTTTTCATGATCGCTCGCTTCGACTCAGCTTGTTCCTTCATGCGCGAAATCAGTCTGCACACCTTCAAAATTTCATGGTACGTTCAATCGCGACTCAGCGCGGCTCGATCCATCTGGTACCAAATGACTTAGTATTTGGTTTTCCTCTTCCGGCCACCGCCTAGAATGTGGTCGAAACGAATTGCAGCCTCACTGGGCTCTGGTGAAATGCGAACCTCTTGCGGGCTTGGCATCCTCATTTGTGCGTTGCTCAGTGGAGGGGATCTTAATGAGGCTCTCGATGGAGTTGATAAAGCACCTGTCTCAAAAACGCTCGAGCCATTCATAGTAGGAGTAGCATAGTGGTCATTCTTAGTTTTTCCGAGACGGCTGTTTCTAAAAGGAATGTAAGATTTTCTTGTCGCTGCGACCTCGGGTTGATTTGGCTCAATAGGTGACCCGAAATTGTCAGCCAAGCTGCTTTTGAACGAAGTGTTAGATTGAGTTCTCGCAAGGCTCACTTTCAAAATTCCTAGCGCTCTTTTATCGTAAACTTGCGGAACCGAGTCAATGGGGGAGATCATGTCGCTAGAACCACTCTGCCTAGTATCCAACGAGAAAGTGTGCCCATGCATGTTCTTCGAGCGTCCCATGTTTAGCATGTGAGCTTGTTGTTCGGACGGCTTGGTAAAGAATGAATCGAAGTCGTCTAGCGCAGCCCACATATTGCTTAGCGAAGCAGCAGGTTCCTCGCCTGTTACAGACGCAGAGTCAATGTGGTCTTCTGGAGGAGCATAGTAATCTTCCATCAAGAATTGAATATCCTCATCCGCAAAAAAATCTTTTTGCTTCTCATCCGGAATTGCAGAGGCTTCAATGCAAGTAGCAAAGACAGCGTGTACATTATGTCTTGTTCTGGCCGATGTCCTCGCTGGCATGGGTACGGCCCAACCACTATCATTAGGAATGCCAAAAAGAGACACAGTTTGTTCGTATTCTTTTTTCATGCTAGTACTCCCCATACTCATCCTCAAGATATCCTTGTCAAGCTGAGAGCCAGATATCGTGGCAACCTCATCCATGACTTCCAAAGCAGGCTCTGCGTATTCAGTAAGGAGAAGTCGAAGTAAAGGAGCCACCAAATCTGCGCCCAATCCCGCGAATTCATCTCTGTTCAAGTCAATAATTGGGAAGATGAGCTTTAATATAGCAAGTGTCTCCAATTTCACCCAAGGTGTTTTGTTTGAGAGAAAGCTCAAAAGTATAATCAAAGTTTGTGCTTCATACTCGGGAAAAAAGCTTGCTCTGACTGCAGAGATCGTCTGCATGAGGAATTCCTTCTTTGCCCTAAATTTGTTTCTCGCTAGTGAGTTCATGATCCTTGACAATCCCAATTTGTTTCCATTTGAAGCCATCTCGCTTATAAAAGTGCAAGTTGCTTCAACCTCAGGGCTGAGAGCGCTTTGATCCATTGCATGCAAAAAGCGAGGTAAATTCACGATGAGAGTCGTGAAGAGCCTGCGGTCACCTGAACCAATTATGTCACTATCCCTCAACTTGTTCAATTTATCGAGAAACTTGATAGTGGGTTCCCAGGCTGTAGCAGATCGAAGACCCACCAATACAACTTCCTGAAGGCCTTCAAATTTTCCCTCCCATTTCGGAGGAAATGTAGATATCAAGCAGGATATGGTATCTGGAGCATCAAGATCAATTTTGGAAACAAACTTCGACATCATTGATATAGTCTCAATAAACTCATGCTCATGAACAGTGCTAAGACATGCAACACTTGACCAAAAAAGCTGAGGAAAATCAATCAATTCTTTTGAATCAAGTTCAGCCGTGATTGCATTCAGAGTCATCAAAATTTGCATAGCAAAACCTTGAATGTCTGGTGACTCATCAGATACTGTGTTCGAAAGGCGGTTCAACATATCCTTAAGCATTGGCTGGTCCAAAAATGTTAGAAGCGACCGGAAGACTTGAAATGAACGACAGGCAATATGTCTCACGGCGCAGGAAGTAGCCCATTGTAACGAAATCCTACTCCAGTCTTTCTGCAATGAAGGTAAAGTTGGTGTGAAAAGCTCCAAAGTAACCCTCACCATGAGGTCCATATTCTTTGGAGTTATGCCCCCCTTTTTGTCATTATTCAAGTCATCATAGGTCCAAAGGCTGGTCAGATAGTCCCTTTTTCTTAAAGTTTCCAAAAATTGTTTTGCTTTAGGGTGGTTTGGCGCAATAGAGTGCATTGTATGCATGAGTAAAGATACTGCTTGCTCTTGAACCAAGGGGAAGTAATGATCCATGAGTGAGAAGGAAATATGCAACAACAATGGCAAATGATCCAAAATTTTGTGATTCTTGGACCTGAAAAGGTCAACAAGAAACACCATAGATAGTTGACCAAGTGAAAAAGCCGACTCCTTGAAATTCAAACCGAGAGTATGGGTCAAATTAGCAGAGTAGGGAAAGTCTGATTCTTCTTCCCTGCCAGTGAAATTCACCTGCAGGGGAACCATTGCTTTTGGCTGAAGGTTTGATATCAACTTATCAATAACTAATGTAGAATCAGGCTTCGAAAAAACAAGGTAAGCGATTATTTGTCTCGAATGAGACACAAAGCTTGGATTTCTTCTTTCCAAACAATTTCTCACGATATAGTCAAATATCAAGTCGAAGTTCTGTGGTTTAGTCCCTAAAGCAACCCAGAGTGCTTCAACTTCATTCGTAATGGTCTTGCTAAACTTAACAGTGATTTCAAACAAGTTGTCCAAAACCATTTTTGAAGGCGCATCAATGTCACCTGAAGATGATCGCAAATCTTCAAATCTACTCAAGTTGGACAAACTAGGGGTTTTTGCCGAAGTTGAATAGGTCAATTCAACCGTTTGCACCCAAGGGAGTAAACATGCAAGTATATCCCTTCTAGTTGAGTTATCCACAACATTGAAGTATTTCGTCAAGTAACTGATGTAGGTAAACGCATCCTCAAGGTGACAAGACGCTAGTTTCATGGAAATTTCAAACAAGACCTTTTTGTACACAACCATAGTTGAGCAACAGACACTCTCAGTGAAACGATCAATTTCTGTGGACTCCAAAAATTTTTCTTCAACGAACTTAATACATTTGATTGCAGCATACCGAATTTCGTGATTGTCTGTTCCAACCAAAAAGGTCGAAATGATGAAAATCTCATAGGGCATGGAATCTACCTTCCTGTGTTTTATGAATGCCTCAACAACAAGAGTGAAATACACTTCCTTCACTGACAAAGAATTTTCCGAGCTGTAACATTGTATAAGTGCCTCGCAGTAAATTTCGTCGGTGTTAATATTGGACGAAAGAATATTTTTCAAAGCAGTCTTCCCAATTTCTTGAACCTTTGCAATACCTGAGCCGATAATTTCATGAATCCACGTCATGATGCCCTTTATGTCGAAAGATATCACAGCTGTTTTTCCAGGAACTGCAAAAGATTGTTTGAGCGCACCCGAACAAATGGTCGCCATGCAACTTAATGATGCGATCTGAAATGTCTTCTTTTCGAGCTCCAAGATAGCGACTGTTGTTGCGGAATCTTTCAGTTCACTCGCTCTCGCAAACATTATCTGGTACCGCTCATCCAAGACTAATCGAGAATCGCCAAACCCACACCATTCATGCAAAAAGTTGAAGCAGCCTATGCGGGCTTCAAACGGAAACCAGCGGCTCAGATCTGATTTGCTCTGTAATCCGATGAGAAAGTTCTCGAGGAAAATACTGAAATGAAATCTCAATTTTTGAAATTCTGGCAGTATTTGAATAGATGGGACGGAAAGGAAACTTTTCACATTTTTTATAATTGAGACTAAGTTCGCAATTGTAGAGTCATCAGAGAACAAACCCGAGCTTGCCTTGAACCTATTGGTTAACAAGCTCAAGATGTGAATGACTTCAATTCTTACTTTATCCTCTTGATCACGGAACTTGGCGTTTGTTTTCCAGTCATTGATTGAAGCAGGGAGGTTCTCCGTAAAGGTCTTGAAGGTATTTATGTTAATACAACTCAAACCTAAAACAACTGCCTCTGTTATCATCGTTTGGGGTGAATTCAATAAAGGTAATACCATTCGAAACACGGACTTTGCACTAGTTATTTTCTGGTGTTGAATGTACATGGGCAAAGATTTTTTCCGGCCATGACTGGGCTGTCTGGGTATAGACATTTTCTGCTCGTTCGTGCTGGTCAACGATGCGCATGCAAATATCAAGTAAAGTTTCCATTGGTTCACTAATACCTCGGGGGGACTTGAAGTGGATGACCTGTTGAAAAGCGAGGATGTATAGTTTTTAACAGACTCAGAAAAAGCCACGACATGCTCGTACATCTGTACTAACCGGACACAAACAATAGAGCGACATAAAGCGACAGGCATTGGGCATTTCTCAAACAAAATATCAAGTAAACGAGGATAGACTCTAAACCAAATTGTTGAATCTATTCCATGGTCAGAAGATGCAAACTTAAGGAGTATACCCCTCTTATTTTTCACTTTGCTCAAACGGGTTCTTTCTGGTAAGCTGAGCTCTTTCTTGATCGGTTTGATCAAATCGAGCATGTCCGCGTTTTCAATGTGATAAATTAAACGAGAGCCCTCATCAGCAACATATTTAGATGATTTTCTGGAGTGTCCCATTTGTGAACTTTCCCCTGAAGCAATTGGCGATACTTCCTTATTATCGGTGCTGTTGTATATCGATTGATCAAATTGCTCGACGAGCTTTAAGACAGAAATTGCCAACAGTCTTTTAGTGCTGTCATCTGAGCAAAGAAAGAAAAGCCCATTTCCTTCTACTTCTTCAATCACTGTGATTATGTTCTTCCATTCAAGCTCTTCATAAGGCTTTAACTTGGTTGTTGAATGTTCAATTGTGGTCAAGTCAGGAGCTTTATGGTTTACTTGATATAAATCATCAAGAGCACCATTGGCGTCAAGCTCTTCTGATTTTTGATCAAAACCCTCAGATATATCTTTGGTACCAGACACCTGTCTTAGCCAACATTTAAGTAACTCGACATAAATCCTGAGAAGTTTGATGAACTTTGGTGAATTGAAGTAATCTGGATCATAGGTAAGCCCTGGCTTCTCTGTCATTCTAAACGCAATACGAGCATACACAGTAAGAATGTTGCCGGCAGATTTCCGTGAGGCTAATTTCGCGAGAGACATTATGGCGGATGATGCGACAAAAGGCATTTCATTCGTTGCGTTTCTGACAAGGGTTTCGACAAAAGTCTGGATAGAAATTCCCAGCGAGGCGCTTCCTCCTTTGTCAAGGGGAAGAGGATTGGAAGTCCAAGTGTAACAGTCTATCAAAACAGCGAATAAATCTGTAAAAACATTTCTCGTTCCTTGATTAAAATCAATCCCAAACGGAAAACTCGACAAAGACGTAAAAGACTTTGAGGCAGTCAGAGCCAAAGATGGAGTTTCGCTTTTACCTCCATGCGCTGAGCCATATTGATTATCGATGAGCTTGAGAAGTAAAGATAGAGATCGACTTATCTCCTCATACGCGGCGTGGTTTTTTATAGTCTTCTGCTCAAACATCGTATTGCTCCACTTTTGAAATGATTTTGTGTATGTTGCCTCAAACAATGTCTTGAGAGGTTTATTGGATGACAATGCAACTACCTCGTTCAACTGATCATTTAACACCTCGTCACTTGGAAATTTGGGCTTTTCTCCTGACTTGAAGTCTTTCAAACACAATGTGTATGATTTTATAACGATCACTAATTTTTCGGGAGAAGCACCCTCCAAATTAACACCATTGAAACTAGACCTGAGCAACTTCAAGATTACATTGTCCAAAACGTAGTTAAGGTGCAGAAATGCAACAATTCGAATGACTTCTGTAATAGCATTAATGAGCTCTAGGTCATGAGTAATCCACTGCTGCTTCTTCCCCGTCACATTCAGGCCGAAAAATAACAAGTCAAACAATCTATCCAATTTCTTGACAGTGTTGTTGAGTGTATCGGGTACACGATTGATGTAAACCCATAACAACCTGGCAATGCAGATGATAAATCTGGTTTTCATTGAAGTTCCCACTTTAGGTTTGAGCCTGTACACATTAGCCTCAATTAAATCAAACCAACTGCTACTGAAGAGATCCTGGGAGCTCACAGAAAGAGCTGAAGTCATCAAAATCAATGCAGAATCACCATCATTAAATGTTGATCCTTTAACAGTGTTATTAGTAGACTTCATTGTGGCTCCTGCTGCAGTAGAAGAAACGGAACAAAGCTTTTGAGCCTTCTTGTACATTTTGTTAATTGATTCGACCCACAATGGATGATTTGCCTCCGCGGTAAGCTCAGATGCTAAAGGTATAATTAAGCTGCTCAAAACTTCCGCATACGCAAAGACAATTGTCGGATTTTGGGATTTGCAGAAAAACTTGGTTAATGATTGAAGAAACTCAGCACCTTCTTCGAACTTCTCAAGAGGGTAATTTGTAAGACGCAAATATCGCATTCCATGAATAAGGAGGTGAAGTTTGGGTTCATCTTCGTGAGCAATATTAACGGGCACTCTCTCAAGATCAGCTATAAAGCGATCACTCACACTTAAGAAGCGCTTTTCGGACATGTGGCCCAAAAGTTCAGAAAAGAGGTTCCAGTTTGCCAGCCGCACGAAGGATTCACTAGTTGCGACTGGATCAGTAGTCTTGAGCTGATAGTAAACTATCTCCTCGAGCTTGCCTCCGAACTCTGTACCCAAAGCATCTCCAGAAGTTTGTTTCACAACTTCAATCAAAACGCGGCACAAGATATAGATGGAGGCCAATGACTTCTTCTCTGCTTGGATGGCAGTGCTGCGCGCGTGTGAAATCTTATCGTCGTAATTCTTATCATAAGGATCAGCACCGTTCAATTTGTTTTGTGAGAATTCTTCTGTTATTTTAGTGGAAATGTTTTCCGGGTCAGTTGAGCTTATGTTCGAAGTTGACACGTTTCTCCGATGAGCCAATTTGGAAATACTCTTTGATCTCATAAGACTGATACTCCTTTTGCCACGAACAGGTAAATCTTTGGGTGACAGTTGCAATCTTACGGTAGCTCCGAGGTCACCAGTGTTAGTTTGCGGTGTTTTGGCTACCGAACTTGAGCGGTTCTGGATTAGAACCTTCTCCAACTCAGTGCTGGCCAACAGTGCAACCTCACTCTTGGATTTACGCCAGAACATCACGCTATCAATAACCTGCTTTGGTTTTTTCTTTGCGATGTAGCCCAAAGAAAAGATTATTTCGTCGAACTGAAGATCCACACCTTCCGCAAGCAACTCGATGATGGGCGGCTCGTTCAGTAAAGGGCCCTCGAGGCAAAGATTGAGTTTTCTCTCTGCATGGCGTACAAATTGCGTGAATATGATATGCAAGGTATACTCCGCAGGACTTTTGGCTTCTGTTGCGGTTAGTTTCTTCATCTGGTGGAACTCCTCGCCGCGCAGCAATACGAAGTTCATTGACTTTTTTTGTGACGGTGGCGGGAGTTGGGGTGAGGGCTCTAGCTTTGGTGCACCTTGATAAGTAGGAGACATCACAGTTCTTATTGAGGAACTCATCTTGGGAGTCGTGAGCGGTTGGTCCTCGCGCGTTGGTTCAGAGGGTTGTAGATTCTGCCCATACTGCCTCTCGCCTATTCCACCTATGTCTTCGTCAAAGAAGGGTTTGGACAAAGGGCTTAGTAGGTTCTTATTCAGCACCATCTGCACGCGCTGCGCCTCATTATATTCTACGACCTGCGGCTCAACCTCAAGGTCTTGTGCATACTCAGATAGCTGGAGCGATGTGAGGGACCCGTTCAACTCCACTGGCTTGGAGGAGATCATAAAAGCACTGGTGTTCTGGTAAATATCCAGGGCTACGGCTGGACTTTGGGGCGCTTCGTAATTGGCACCCAAGTCCTCGTGGTTCTGCTGCATAGCATATTCGTGCAAAGGCCCACCGAGCTGGATTTCTTCATCGAAGTTCTCGTCGACCTCAGAGATACGGTCGATCTGGGGTGTGCGGGCCTCACGGCCGACTTGCTCGAGTTCCACTCGCTCACGAGAAAATGATTCCACAAGTCGCTGGCTCAGCGACAGAAAGAAAGAATCAGCGGCTAGTGGTGACTGAGTCGTATTCACCAACTGGGGGAGCGAGATGTACGGTGAGCTTTGCGCGTCGTAGATGTTTAAGGGCAGCTCCAAAACAGTGGCCGTGGACGGGGTTCGCCCGTGGAGGTTTTCGCCACCGTTGATAGAAAAAAGCTCAGACGCATCTTTGAAGTTACCTTGTGGTTGTTCTGGGCTTCCATGATATTCCCCGTCGATGTGAAACTGGTTGTACTGTTCCTGAAGCTGCGCCAATTCGTGCTGAGCGTAGGAGGGCTGCTCCAAGTTGGGGATTTCAATCATCCCGAACGTTTTTCTGTTTGGTCTTGGATCCGGGCTGTCACGTGCTATTTTTGAGCTGTGGGGTCCAATTGAATATGTTTGCGTTGTGTTGCAAAATGATACGATCTACTCTAGATCGACTGATAATTTGGTGCTTGAGTGTGTGGAGATCACATCATGGCCTAGTGGGTGCGGGCCCAGGGTCCCAATCGGTGGGGCCTGGCCGTGCCTTCATAGGCCCGGTCGCGGGGTGCGTGAATCGGGTCCAAACAAGGCAAGTATTACGATGGTTTCATGTCTGTTCGATACGACTCCTTGTGAAGTCATTAGGAAGCCCGAGCCTTGAAAAAATCATTTAGCCGTGTGGAACACCTGTGTATGCTTCATAATTTTGCTAAGGCTAGCATGTGTGATTTGACCGGACCATTGTTATTGTTGCCCCGATAGGGCATTTGGGGCCGGGCGAAAAAATGCGAGCGGTGCCTGGAAGGCGCCATCGAGCGATTCAGCCTCAGCGTGCCAGCATGCATATGCGCCATACGCCCAGAATCAGCTTCATACCTGAGCGCTTCTAAATTGCTAAAACTGACTGATTGGACTTGATCTTTGAAAGTTGCAAGCTTATGTGAAAGCTGCAAGTTTGACTTTTAGGCTTGACGTATAGGTTCGAGGCATAGATTCGAAGCATGAGCGACTACTAGAACTTCGCAATTGCGGCAAGAATTGGCGCGATTACAGTGTGCGAGACCCTGCTTTAATAAATCAACAACAGCAGACAATGACATCATATTTTTTTTGTGTGTGTCTGGAAACCTGCCTGTCCAAATGCCGGCAGTATACTGTGCAGCAATCAAGAGCCTCAAAAAGTAGGTTGAAGCGGACCCCTTAATTGCCTTCTCCTCTTCATGGTAGATATCCTCAAGGCCTTGTTCCAAGTCATGTTTTTCTGTGCTTCCTAAGACCAAGCAGCAAAAGGAAGTATCCAAAGATGTGTTTCATGCTTGTTGTATTTGACTTTAAAAGTTGTATTTGGGAATCTTGGAATGAGGGGGAGAGGGTCCAAAAGCTTTTTAATTTTCTATTTTATTTGTCTTTAGAAAAGAAAATGACGCACGTAAAAAATAGACCAAACAATTCGAAAAAGATATCCTTATAAATTTTCCAGGGGGAAAAAAAACCAAGGACCATAGAAGAACATGTTTCTGGCTGAAAATCAGCTGGATTCCAGGTGTGGGCCAAAAAGTCGTCCCTTTGCGCTGAATTGATCCAATTTAAAGGTACCATGTACCATCACGGAGCGCGCACCGCATCCCGATATTGTAAGTACCGTTGTGAACTACACGCTATAGACAAAGGGTATTTGACATCACTATGGTAGACGATCCAGCTGTCTTGATAAATCAGTTTATAGCTGCCGCCGCAAGCGAAGGCGACCTGGAGTTATTTTCAGCCGAGTTGGCGGGCTTTCTTGCCAACAAATCGGTGTCTCTTCTCCTGTTCATTCAGGCGCTTGGCCCGACTTTGACTTCTGAAAGCACTGCCACTAGAACACATGCTACACATTGTTTGGCTGCAACGCTTTCCGCCATGGATGATGCCACTTTCTTGCTGATGCAAGACGTTTCTGTGCTTTTGCAATTTTTGCTTGCAAAGCTCGATGACGAGAAATTGACCGTGCACGTCTTGAATGCTTTGTCTTCCCTTGTAGGATTCAAACACTTCAGACCAAATGTGAATGGAAACCTTATCCAGCTACTCGAGAAAATTTCTGATCTCTATGAGCCCAGAAAGCATTTGGCCAAGGTCCGATACGAGTCGTTCCATCTTGTCGATGCTACTTTCAAAAATCATAGAGACGACCTTATTGCCATTCCGGCTAATGCCGAGAAATTTGCCTCGACATTTGTGCACATCGCAAGTGGCGAAAAGGACCCAAGAAACTTGCTCATGTCATTTAAGTTGAACACGGCGATCAACAAAAGCCTTCCTTTCGATGACAGGTCTGCTAACGAAAAACATGATCAACTTCTCACGAAGTTGTTCGATGTGGCCTTCTGTTACTTCCCAATCTCATTCACTCCTCCAGCAAATGATCCATATAAGATCACATCTCAGGATCTAAAGACTGAATTGAGAACCACAATTGCTTCTCAGTCGCAATTTGCCCAGGATACATTTCCTTCACTTTTCGAGAAACTTACCTCAACAAACCCAGCAGTAAGAAACGACGTCTTACAATGTATTTGTTCATGCGTGGAGAATTATTCGTCCGAGACCCTCGAGCAATACTGGGTCGCAATTTGGGACGCTCTCAAGTTTGAGATCTTGCACAATGACGCGCTGATCTTCAAGCCAGAAGCCGACTCCATCATCCCGCTTAATGCTGAAGCTTTAGATGATTCTGATGAAAATAAAATCTTGATTTATACTTTGATTGTTCTTCAAAAGTTGGCACAGAAATTGGAGCATGCGGAGTCGTTCGAGCCCATGACGGCCACTATCATCAGTGACTTGAAATCACATTTTACGTCCCTCAACGAAAAGACCTCCAAACAAGCCGTCATTCTCATCTGTTCAACCGGAACATCATCCACTAAGTTTTTTAACAAGATTGTTCAATTTTTATTTTCTTTCGAGGTTTGGGGTAAATTCATTCGCAGTGACAAGCTAGAGACTGAGTCTGAGACAGAACAAGAGATAGACGTCTCTATAACTGTCACTAGACAGAGAGAATTAATTGACTACGTTGGCTTTGTTATCACAGCATCCAAAGTCCTAGCGGAGCCGAACGATTTGTGGGACTTTAAAGATCACTTACTCATTTTTATGGGGCAGCTTTTGCAAACTTCGTCCAACCTTGAGAAATCTTTGAAGTGTAAGATTACTCAGCAATTAACAAAAATGCTGTTGATAAGTGGATTGCTTTCAAGGGAAGATGCGAAGTTGATCTTGAACTGGCTTGGTGAGAACATGGCCAGTATAACAAGCCATAGTTCAAATTCGGACTGGCAGTCCGATCTTCTTTTACAAGAAATTGTGAAAAGTATCATTCGTATCATGACAGAGGGGTCTGAGGAGATGTTGAGTGTCAATGTCTCTTATGTTATCGAGATCATTCTCCCAATGCTTCTTGATCGCGTCTCTGAAAAGGGTGTTTTGGACCTCATTGATAGGCTCTGTGTAAACTACCAATTCTTGGAAGTTTTATCCATTCGATACTTGAACAAGCTTGCCTATGATGAATACGATAGAGAGGCTTTTGGTGATATTATCGAGAGCCTCACGAAGTCGTTCGTTCAAACTCAAGCAGTGAAACCATTTTTAACCAACTCATGGCAAAAAAACTTTATTCCCAGATTCCTTGGGATTATCCTCAAGAGAAGTGGTGAAGAACCTGTCATATTAGAGCTCGCTGGTCAACTTTTCGGATACATAGTGCGTTTCATCGAAAAATCGAAGCATCAATCAACTTTGGAAGATTATGTCTCTGTTTTTTTGAACAATGACGTCCACGAAGGTGTTTCCATGGAGAGTTTGAGCGAGCATCCGTCTCCCAAAATTACGTTATTCAAGCATTTGCTCGCTAAAATTGACAAGAAAGTGATATTTCCGGATCAGTCCCAGGGAGCCCTTATCGATTCTTTCATCAAGCTTGCTCATAACTCAGAGAATGAGTATGTTAGGCTTGGTTATTTGCAAGTGATCGCACTTTTAGTCAACAAATTCACCCTTGGAAATGACGAGTCAGTATCAAAACATTTTCTTCAATCATTCGAGAAAGGACCAAGTGATTCGGCGTCTCTTGAAATCGCAATTTGGATTTTGAAGGGCTTAATAGTGAAGCTTGACCCCTCTGGGTCGAAGTTCTTGGATCTAGTCGTGACTCAATTGACTGAATCCGAGGATTTTAGATTCTGTAAGGCCATCTCCAGCTCATTCACTATTCTTATGAGTGACTTGGATATCTTCACAAACAAGGAAAACAGCAAAACTAGAATCATTTCGGGAGTGGTTAACCTAAATGCTAGGCTTCTTTACAAGCAACAAATTTTTGAAAGCTTGCTTCAAAAACTCCTCGCTGGTTTTACGGCTACTCAGGATGCTTCAAGAAGAGAAGTGAGCTTGGCTACATTGGCCGTTATTATAAACAACGTCTCGCCTGAGATTTTAAAGCCTCATTTGAAAGAAGTTTTGCCGTTGGTATTGAATGGATTGACTCTACAGAATAGCAGTGTGCTCAAAGCTTCATTGCAAACATTCAAAGTGATAATCCAGGAGTCCCCGGAATTAATACAAGAGAATCTTTCTAGTCTCTTGAGTAAGTTAATTTTCTTGAGCACTCACAAAATGGTTGTTGACAAGAGATTGGTCAACAATGAGACGATCAGACTTTTGAGTTTGGATTGTATATTGGGTGTCTTTACGAGGTTGGAACATACCAAATTGGTGAGATATCAAAGCAGCGCAAGAATGGAGCTCGCTCGTGGCCTTGATGACAAGAAAAGAAATGTTCGGAAAAAGACCACAGACGTCCGTCAAGTCTTGTATGAATTAGGCCACTGAGCATGATCGGATTATAGACCATTATAATTATTCATCATCGGATTCATCGTAGTCAACAGGTGCCAAACCTGGTGTGAGACCCGGGTATGTCAAAACACCTGACTTCACTTTCTCGTTGAACGAACTCAATTTCGCCTTCTGTTGTCTTTCCTTAGATCTGTCGTATTTCTCGTTGGTGAGAGCCAAAATCTCGCTTCTCAACTCCTCGACTTCATCTTTTATCATGGGATCATCGAGGCCACCTGCTCTTCTGACAGCGAACGAATTCTTTTTTATTAGCTTTTTCAAGTATTTCTGTTCTTCCTCGGAAATATTCTGCGAGTTCTTATGTGATTTGATGACGTTATATTTGACATTTTTGCTGAAAAGTTTTTCTTTCTCCAAGTTTTTATTGAGTTGCTTGTTCCTCTTGGCTTTTTCAATCTTATTAGCCTTCTTTATTTCTTCCTTAGAAAGTCTTTTTTTAGAGACTTCACGGCTGAAATTCTCAGTAGTAGAGATCTTTTTCAGCGGTATATTTGACCGTGTGGTCGAGCCCGGAAGCATGTTTTCGAAAAGCTTGTTTAATGTAGCTTGAGATCTAGTTTTCGACAGATCTGAGGAGAACGCCATAATAATTTTAAGTTGAGGATTTGTGAAGTGGGGGATAATCAAGGCGTAGGCGTCATATACTGTGATGCGTGGGAGATGGCAGAGATGAGCTGGTGCACGGGTTCTGTATTTTGGACTATATGAGTAGATTCGATATGCATAGACTCATCGCAGTGTGAGGCCATAAATAATGATTGAAATAAACCATGTGTCTGATTCAAAAGACAACCAACAAGATGTTATTTAATCCCAAGTTTAATACATGAGCCCGAGATATTTGCATGAACCTAGCAATACTACAACCACTTGTGGTCCATGCTCTCATCAATGTGCGAGATGCCGAGTAGTTCATGAGTGCCACCAATACAATGAAGAATAAGATGAAACATTTGCCCTGGTTTTTGCCAAAGTTCCTTATGCTCACTAGTATCGTTCGCAATTATGGAGGTTGGGCTTTTCCAAATATGTAAGCACCCATTTTTTTTGCCATTTCGCGGAGTATTATCGAAACCAGAAAATAACCTTTGTGTTAAGCTGGGGACTTTATTATCTAAAGCATTCTTAAAAAGGGACACGAACAAAAATGAGGAAACAGTAGAGTACTTGTGATATCTGGGATAATCATTACCCACCCCAAACATCAATAATTTTGCTAATGAGGCCCTAAATTTGTTGGAGCTCAGCCTTTATTCTGATTTCTTTATCCCTAAGTTTATATTTAGTAAAGACATCTTAGCATGATGTGACACTATCTGACGGAAAAAGCCATATCACACCAGGATTATATCACGTGCATCATAGACTAGGATGCACAGGACAAAGGACAGCTTTTTTTTTGAAAAGTCATTTTTCCGAAAGAGGATTACTTGTAGAACATCATCAACTAGCGATAAAGAGAATGCCATGCCTTTGCTTCTAACAAAAGAGCCATCCCCTTCCATCTTTGTCCGCGCACGATTAGGGTGGACCGAGGTATCGCTTAGCTCGACAGTAAGGTTATCGCAATCACGTGGTTGAGTGTGGAGAAAGGGTGCGAGTACTGGGTGCCGGGCTTTTCCCATCATGTGAATTGTCAATTGCTCAAGTATAAAGACCACAGATCCCGCTGCCAATATCTCATACGATATTCACCACTGTGCACACTCCAAAACACCAAAAAACACACAATGTCTGACTTGAAAGCTGATGGATTTAACGCGTCTTCCTTGTTCCAGGAATTGAACGATGGCTTGAAGGATGAAGCCGCCAAAAAGAAGGCCATTGCAGGCGTCAAGGCTGTCATTGTGATTACCTTGAAGAACAAAGAGGGCAAAGACCAATCGTGGGTGTTGAACTTGAAGAATGAAGGGTCGATCAAGAAAACCGACTCTGTGCCCAAGAACGACGTGCAGTTGTTGATGAAGGACGCCGACTTCGTTAAGTTGGCCAGCGGAAAGGCCAACGGCCAGAAGTTATTCATGAACGGAAAGTTGAAAGTCAAGGGCAACATGATGAAGGCCACGGCCATCGACTCCGTGTTCAAGTCCATCCGCCCCAAACCAAAGTTGTAAACCCTTTGTATATCTACTTAGTACCGGCGAGTAACTCCGAGATTATGCTTCCTCAGAATGTCATCACAGCGTAGACGGCGGCCATGTCAGTACTGCACGACCTCATTTTCGGTAGTAATGAAGATTGCATCCCCGCTGCTGCCCACCAGCACGACCCTGAACATCTCACTGAGCCCCACGAGCTGGCTGTACTCAAACCGAGCACCGTCAAACTCGATCTTGAGCAACAACTCGGGGCCATTGGCGGCCACAATTACCAATCCACGCCCACTTTTTGCACGCTGCACATTGGCTTGTTTGATTGGGAAGTTGGGATTCATTTGACAGTCCCAATGAGCAGAGTGTGTCTCGTCATTGCTGCGAGTGACGTCGTGGACCCGTAGTAATCCATCAGCGTAGCCTGCAACAAGATACTGCCCTTCCACACAGAGCGACGTCACAGCACTGGTCCTTTGGAGTTTGGGCCCGGTCTGGAAATGGCCCGCCACGCTGTATTGCTGGATCGTCCCCAGCCCGTAGCCCACGTACATGTATTTATCCTGGCACCCGAATAGAAAGTCGCCCCCAACAGTGTTTCCTGGCTCGACTGTTTCTCCCCCGGCTAGCGCCATGCACGTGACAGGGTCGCTGAGATTGTCGATTCTACGAAACTGCGACACGACCTGGGCAGACGAACACTCCCATAAAACAACCGATCCATCGAGCGAAGCAGTGAGGAAATTCCGGCCGCGGTCCACCACCGCAATGTCTGTGATCTGCGCTTTTTGCCGGGAGAAAACGCGGACTGGCAGCGGCTCGGGCTCGGCGGTCACGGGCCATAGTTTGGTCTGGAGATCCAACCCCACGGTCATCATCACCTGTGAAGAAGGGAGCACAGTGATCCTTAGCACGTCGGCAAGATGAGCATTTTTGATCTCGCCTGCAAGCAGCTTGGAGCCGACGTCATACTGGAAGACGTGGCCTGTGTCGGTACCTGCGATCAATATGGCGCCGTTCGGCGAGATCGCTGAGGCGGAGATTTTGGATCCCCGAAGGCCCAAGTGTAGCTTTGATTCTGGAAACTCGAGTGCATACGTATCTTTTTCAGGCCCGTCTCCAATGGTGAGACTGAATTTCAAGGCGCCGGTTTGGCAGAGCCCAGCTTTCTGTGGCTGCTCTGCCGCAGCGGTGAACACCAAGAGATCATCTTTCAACAGCACGGATATGTCAAAAAACTCCTGCTGCTCTTCGTTTTCGGAGTCTCGTCGAGCAAGCCAGATCGACTCCAGCAGTGTCTTTCCAGAAGAAACATCCAGAAGCACCTCTAGAAACGTTTCTTGTATGGTGATGATGTGCATGGCGTACGGCTAGAGACCAGCCGTCGCTTCATTTTTCGAGGCAATTCTGGGGTAGGCCCAGTGCGCGCGCATGGCAAGTCCAAAAGTAGCTGGAGGGGCCCGAACACATGGTGTTTATGACTTTGGGGTTTGGAATACATGGCACTATAGTCGTGAGAATCAACAAATATTGCAATAACCAAAAACACCCCGTGGTCATGGACTGGCTAATGTCCCTGTCTATGCAAAGTAGTAGGTGCCGGTTAGTATCACTGTCGTAGTGTAATGGCATGTGTTTCATACGTGTATTATACAAGCAGTTGAGGATGATTCAATCGCAGCATGCAAGTGGCCGTCACATCAAATCAAAGAGGAATAGTGACAAACATATAGTATGTGTTCCCTGTAACATACGCGTTTATTACGTGCGCATTAATTTCACCATTCGCATTAACTTCACCATTCGCATTCATGGAGGCCGACAGGATGAAGAATCTAGGGCGAAACGCCCAGCTCAGAGTAAGACCGGGCCTTGGATCTGGTGCTTGGCTGCCCCATCTTGAGCCACCGAACAGCCAACCTGCCTTAATGTTCGTGACTCGAGCCTTGCAATCTATGTCTTTTATTATTCGTCGCTCTGCACCCGCGAACTGGAGGCACGGATGCCAGCTATGAGGCTTTCGATCTAGTACCCGGCTCTCATCTTGGTTCTGTTCACTTAAAAGCAGATGCACGAAAGCACGGTCACAGAGATGACCGAGGCTTCCACTGATGATACGCTTCAAATGTTCTTCAATGAGGAATTCAGTCCGGCTAGCTACGTGGATGCATTGTACCTGCTGATCTCGGGACATACTGACCGCTACTCCACGCAGAAATTAGGCACAATCAACACCAAGACCCAAGAGCTCTTGACGCATTTGGACTACAACACAAGCGAGCTTTTGCACGAACTTGAAAAGAAAATGGAACTATTGAAAAAACTGCTGAGCCCCATCGGCGTGTCCGAGTATGTGCTGGCAGAAGAAAGCTTAGGGACGGCCGGCTCCGATACCTCTCGTCTTCAATACTATGTGGCCTCTTTGAAGAATGCCGTAGAAACACTCAGTGCAGATGTTGCAGCCGTGAAACATGAAGCCGGAAAACCGGCAATAGATGAGTCCCTGGAAGCCGGCCACGCCGATCCTGTTGACGCCTTGATTCTGTTGAAACAGGTGAAGGCCCGCATACTAGCAGTATATCACGTGATCCAGAATGCCCAGCGAACCGTCAGCAAGCCAACAGAGTCGGTGATTTTGGACGATGAGTTTCTGGCCACGTTGCTGCTGCTACACGAAAGCTTAAGAAGCAGACTACGCGAAGGCGGCGACGAAGAACGCGCAGAAGTATCCGACACTGTGAGGGAGCTACGCTCATGGGTACCTATGTTCCAGCCGTTCACGAGATTCGGGCCCCCCTTCGTCAAGTTCGTCGTCAAGATGGAAAATGAGCTATAATACTTCTTTTGTGCTGCGAGGTAGGGTTCCGTAGTCATTAATGTCATGATGGAATTCGAGTATCTAGATAGTATCTAATGCAAAGTTCACGTGGCTTTTATAGTCTCCTCCAATCCTGAGCTGGCCACAGTTTCTTCGGAGTTCTTGATGTTTTTCTCCAAATCCTTCGCTGCCCTCTCTTTTCTGGCCTTCTTGCTCATCCATCCAAATCCCGCGTAGTAAAGGAAAGCATTGAAAGCGCGAGTGGGGAAGATCTTCACAACCCACCAGTTTGGCACTATTCTAATCACCATACCTACGGGAACAGACACCATACCACAGATGATGGCGGTAGCCCACATTGCCGGCGTTTGCCTGACAATGGTGAACGCAGCACCTCCAACAAACATAATCAAGACCTGCATTGCTCCGATGAGAACTGTGATCACAATAAAGTACCAATTCCTGAACAAGTGAGAGAAGAAATTCAAGTTCTCGAGGTTGATACGACCGCGGACAGTTGTGACATCAGCACATTCATCCAACTTTCTCGTGACGAACAATTTCCAAAACTGCAACCAAACAAACGCGTTGAAAGTCATAGCATCCAATTGTTCTTGTTGATGGGTGGTGATAGGGCTGTCGCCGTAGAATATCTTCTGGCCCGCGAAATGCAAAACGAACGTGACAATTAATTGGTTGATGGACTGCCCGAGAATCATTTTCCACATGGACACACTGATCAAAGGCATTGTCCTACCAGCAGGCTTTCTGTTCAAAAGAGCATCATCTGGTTTATCTGTTGCCAAGGCCAAGGCTGCCAAAGTGTCCATAATCAAGTTGACCCATAACAATTGAACTGCTGTCAAGACAGACTTTCCGTCCGGGGAAGCAACAGCTGAAACGAATGTAAGTACACAAGCAGTGATGTTGACGGTCAACTGAAACTGAATAAACTTCTTGATTGACTCGGCAACAGTTCTTCCCCACTTGATGGCTTGAACAATGTCAGTGAAGTCATCTGTCATCAAAATGATATCAGAAGCTTCTCTGGCGACTTCAGTCCCGCTGATACCCATGGAGAAGCCAACGTCTGCTAATTTCAAAGCTGGCGCGTCATTTGTACCGTCACCGGTAACAGCAACGACTTCACCTGCTTTTCTCAAGGTGTCCACTAAAATTCTTTTGTCTTCTGGAGAAGATCTGGCCAAAACTCTCAACAGAGGAGCGATACGCGTACGTTCTTCTTGGGACAAAGCCCTAAAGGCAGGACCTTCCATGAACGCGTTCTCGTTGGAGGAGTCTTCCGGCGTGAGAATGTTACATCCTCGAGAGATTGCCTTGGCAGTGGTCAAGTTATCACCTGTTACCATTCTCACCGTCACGCCAGCCATTTTACACCTCGAGACAGCCTCGGCGACACCTTCTTTCAAGGGGTCCTGAAGACCGACAAGAAAGTCCATGACTAGATTGGCAACGGAGTCATGCCTGGACGTAGCGATGTCAACAAGCAGTTTGGGAAGAGCCTGGGATGGGTTCTTTGGGTCGGCGATTTCGGCTGGAGGCCAGGAAGAAATGCCCACGAAATCCTTGTGGGCAAGCATGATGGCCCTCAACGCATCGTTGGCGTATTCATCAATTTTCTCTAGCACAGCTTCTCGATCCGAGCGTTCCATAGTAAATGCATTGTCGTGGTCATCTACTTGGAAACTGCAATGCCTGAAGAGGATCTCCGCAGCGCCCTTGATGTAGAAGCGGTATCCATTGTCGATCTTCATAACCACACCAGCCCATTTTCTGGAGCTCTCGAACGGTATGACCTGGACAATTTCTGAAGAGGAGTCGTTCCTCTGCTGCGTCAAAGAGTTGTCAGTGAACTGGTTAAATTTATTCTTTGCGAAAATCAAGAGAGCAGACTCGGTCTTGTTGCCCAAGTAAGGTTCATTATTGGCGCCCAAACTCTGCTGGGTTTGGCTCTTGCTGTGGAACAAGTGGTAGAAAAAAGACCTTTGTTTTGGTCTCTCAAGAGCCCTGGAAGCAGCTTCCTCATCGTAGTCGGAGTTTTCAAAGGCAGTGGAGTTTAGTGTGATGTTGGAGGAGATGAAGACCTTGAGCTTCGCCGGTATTTGGGGGACCATATCGGCGGACTTGGCCACGCTGTCGGTCATGCCCGCATGGTAGGAGTCGTCAAAAGCAAGTTTCTTATTGATGTAGCCACGCACTATGCGCATGCGGTTCTCCGTGAGCGTCCCCGTCTTGTCAGAGCAAATTGCCGTGGCACCGCCCATGATTTCACACGAGCGCAAGACACGCACCAAGTTTCCGTTCTGGGCCATGCGTGTGGTGGCGAAGGCCAATGCGAGCGTCACGGCCAAGGGGAGGCCCTCTGGCACCGCCACCACAACGATGGTGACGGCCACGATGAGGATCTCGACAAAGCTTTTGCCCTTCTCGGGCCCCGTGCTGTTGGCAAGGGAGCCGCCGGGAGCAATGTTGACGCAGAAGCGAATAAATAACACGACGAAGAGCACGAGAGCCGCCAAGAAGCCGTACTTGGAGATGCCCTCGGCCAAGTCGTCCAAACGGGCCTGCAAAGGCGTGACCTCCGCCTCCAGACTCAACGAGGCCATGGTCCTGCCGTGGATGGAATTGGAGCCCACGGCAGTGACGAGCGCAGTGCCGAAACCAGAGAGCACCCGGGCGCCGGAGATGAGGAAGGGGTCCTGGAACTTGATGGTGGCGGAGCCGATGTCCTCGCCCAGCGCGATGTGCTTCTCGAAGCTGCCGAGCGCTTCGGCGGCAGGCTTCTTGTGGATGGTGTCCAGCTCTCCCGTCAACGCGGACTCGTCGCACTCGATGTCGCCCGAGATCATGACGGAGTCCGCGGGCACCACGTCGCCCGTTTCGAGCGAGATCACGTCGCCTACAAGCAAGTCGTGGATGGAGACCATTTGCTTGTTGCCGTTGCGGAACACGATGACCTGGCGGTCCTCTTTCTTCGAGTTGAGCTTGGCGAACTGGCGCTCTTTCTGGAAGTCGTTTGCGGCGCCCACCACCACCACGATCACCACGGCGGTGATGATGGCCACGCCCTCGACCCAGTCCACCTTCGGCACGGCGTTGTTCTCGTCGTCGTACTCGGTTTCCTGGCCAAACGTCTCGTAGAGCCCCAACGCCAACGAGATGACCGCGGCCACGGTCAACAAGATCAACACCTTGTCCTTCATTGCCTCGTAGCAGAGCACGAAAAACGACTTGGCGGTCTTGACCGGAAGCTGGTTGCGCCCGTACCGCTGCACACGGTCCTCGGTATCGGCATGTGCATCCAACCCGAGCGCCGGGTCACTTTGGAGCGTTTTCGCGAGATGCTCCAAGCCGCCGAGCTCGTGGAGCTTTCGAAGCGACTTTGGGTCGTGGAGCGCGGTCAATTCCGCGGGTGTCACGACGAACCCGCTGGGCTGTAGGGGGCTGTCGGAGGACACCGAGTGGTCGTCGCGGTCGTCTTTGGGCACGGACAACGACATGGTGGATCTCCCTATCTTTTCTTCTGGAGTTCTTTTCGGCAGAAGCTGTTTTCTGCTGGGGACGCTTTTTCTTTTTTCTCCGGTACTCTTGTGTCCTTCTTTTCCGGGTCTTTGTAGGGGGTATGCAAGCAGCCCGGCGGAACGAGTGGTGTTTCCGAAAACGGAGAGGGGGTCTTGGCGGCACCCTTGGGTTACCTGATGGTTTTTGCTGGCCGCTGTGATCTAGTGGGCAGGAGGCAAAGAGAATGGCAAATCTGCCAAGTCTTGAGCAAAACACCAGAGCTATACTGGACTTATGCTGGAGCAAGACTGGAGCTATACGGGAGCAAAAGCTGGGAGGGAGCTAGCAACAGACAAAATTATGGGAAGTGGCGGTCGGAAGCAGGCGGGTGCCAGCACTTTTATTGCGGTCGAGGATCTGTGCGGTGATAAGCTTGGCGTGCCTCTTTTTACCCTTTTGATCACGGGTTTGGGATGTTGACTGTCGCAGGACCCGCTGCCGATTTTACACAGCCTCGTTTGCAGCCGTGCGGTTGATCACAGCAACGGACTGCATGGGCCCCCGGAAAGCGACATGGAATATCCACCAGACTGGGGCACTCGAGCCGGGAAAGACAAAGAGACAAGGGAATGTTGCATGTTGTTCCCGTGTGGGTGCTAGTGTACTATCTACTGTGCTGGGGTACAATCTGCTGTGCCGGGGTACAATGTACTGTACTGGGCCTAGGCCACAATTACTTGTGCACTGATCTCTGTGTTGATTTGCTGGGGTTTTTTTTCTTCGATTTGTTCTTTATAGTCGCGGCTTGCCGCTAGCGGCAGTTTTAGCCATGGCAGATCCGATAAAGCATGGTGGAGAATAGGAGGAGGCCTGATCCGAAATCCTCGCCCTGCTCCTTCCCTTCAAAGGGCCCTGGCTGAATGAACACAGCCTGACAGCTGACTGGGCTATCAATTTGCATCCTTTCGAAAGCGCCATGACAGATGGCAGTGTCCACAGCCCGTGAAAACCCACGCCCGCCATGTCGCCCATGTCGCTCGCCATGTCGCCTACTATGCCGCCCGCCATGCGGCCTGCGCGCCTCCCACTGCACGCAAGCGTGCCAAGCTTTTTCTGCGCGGTGCAAGAAACCCATGTCGCACACGCCCTCGCCATAGCCGACCACGACGCGCAATGAAGCTAGAAAAGCCAGCTTCAGACGTTGCCGCACACCAGAAACTCTTGCACAGCAAAAGACAAAACAAATACGAAACACGAATATCTGATCAAGCACGTTTCAAAGAAGCATGATAGGCACAGCACAAGCCTCCGGCCCAGATATCGTTCTAGTAGTGTCCGCCCCGCCAAATTCTCCGCAATTCGGCAATTCAATGTCCGCCGTACTACGCTATGTTGCAACCAGGCTTGGACGCGACGGGAAAAGCGAGGTGAACGTTCCTAGACACAGCCCTGTTTCTCCTCATATGTAGAAGGCTTCAGACGCAAATTCATTGCCGCGTACGTGCTTAAAGATACCTAGAGGTCTACAGGCGCAAATGTGTCTGGCTATCTCCACCGTATCAAATGTTCACTTTTGGTCAATTGCTTAATACCGGGGCTGTGTCCTAGCAATTGTGCAGTGTCAGCTTTGAAAAACTTAATTGACTTCCGGAGTCCGATTGCCAAAAACTCACTGAAAATTTCACTGCAAGAAGCAACTATCCCTGATACAACGACACAGCCAGACCATCGCGATAAAATCACAATGAGAGGCCTATTTGTTTTGAGTTGCGGGCGTGTTGAACCACACAAATGTGTTCCGTCATGTTCATGAGGTGGTGTAATATCATTCGTCAGACAAGAGAAGTATTGAGTAGTATGTACGGGGCCGACAGTTTGCAGGACGCGAGTCATCATGTCCTTTTTGGGTAATTATGCGTGAGGTGCAGCAGAGCCACATGGGCATACGGGGCTAGAGAAGCGCGCACCTCAAATACGCACACCCAAGTAGCTAATTAAACGTATCCGCGTCCTGCGCGAGCTGGAGGAGCAGCACGCGTCTAACATAACCATTCGTGAACAGACGCCAATAGGGCAGGTACTTTGAAGAATTTTGCAACTGGCCTCTTGCAAGTAGTGCGATTTGATCTAATAGTGTCCCGGCCTATCTGGTTAAAAAATAGCCTGTGACCTGAGGGAATGTAGTCAAGTCAGTAGTGTTTCGGAAGATACTGCCTAGAAGACTTTTGTACGACTCTTGGCTCAGACATTGGGGTGTCTGTTTTCTAGTCCCAATTTGTATTGTCTGGTACTATGGATTGCTCGCACAAGGCACACTGATTTTCACGGACCGGTTCAGTTGTATAGACTTTCAACTCTTGCGGGTTCCTCAACGCACAGTCAGCTGAACGCACTTCCGTGTGATGGAATTTTGGACTATTGTAGAATAAATCATAATGATGGCTCACAAAGACTCTTCATTGATCTATAAAGATCACTGATCTATATGGACTACTGGTCTATATGGAGTTTAAGTTTATATGGATATGGAATGTCTTCCTAGCAGTTAGATCGGAGCTGTGTGGCCGTCTTGCCAACGAGACTACCTCAGATCCCTCCATCACATGAATACTCAAGTACGGAAAAGAGCTGTGGTGTGCGCCACTGGTCTACTGAAATCCAGATCCTAGTGCTGGTAGAGAAATCTGACGCAGCCCTGGATCACGCCGTTCTTCTGCTCTAAGTAAACGGGTTCCGCGGTCAGATCGCGTACATGTATATCACGTGCACACAGACTCTTTGCGGGGCTCTTGAAGCGGTATCGATAGTATAGAGCAGGAGTTGCGAGACCACCGAGCAAAGCGTAGCTCAGTCATTTTCGCCCGAAATTACCAATGTCTCCTAGATAATGTTCCACCGTCCAAGCCCCTAGACAAGGAAAACCGGATAGGTTATTGTTTGAAGAATGGCATGTGGTGCGAAATCTGATGTAGCCGCCGAGATCATCGTGCAACTCCGACAGAGACCACCAAATGTAAAAAAGAGAGGGCACGTTGCATATTAATACTATCAGACCTGAGGGAGAACCCATGAATTGTACCGGATTGCACCCAAGTTATATACTTCACCGGTTTGTCCCACCATAGGTGAAACCCCATTTCTAAGAATCACATTCTTCTAAAAAAAGAAAGAAAACACTCTCACACCGAAACCTCAGAACACCATCTGTTCCCGACCCGGGCAGAAACTGTTTGTGATATGGACCTTAGGGTAATGTGATTTTTGTGCCGGCACGTGGGGTTACGATATCCAGGCCAGGAAAGACCACCACGGACTGCACACAATGGAATTACTAACGATGCCTGCCAGACTTGCAAACGACCCGTTCCAACATGCCCTCAGATCCGTCAAAGCGGAACCGGCTTTCGTTCTAAAATAGCCCATCATTTGCAAACACCAATAGACCACGAACGCGGGCAAAAACGGTGCTGGGCAAAAGCCAAATTGTGGTCCGATTCCACACGGCATCGCTCCCCAGCTGTGGCGTTCTCAACGGCTCCATACAGGCGCACGTTGCCTAGCATCCAGGCAAACGAAAAAAAAAAAGACCGAGATCCACGGTCGTTTTTTCCTTCGAATACACAAACAAACACAACCAGCCACACAATGACCGTCGACAACACTATCCAGTACGGCTTCGGCACACACGCCGTCCACGCCGGCGCCGCCGCAGACCCACACACCGGTGCCGTGATTGCACCCATCAGTCTTTCCACCACGTTTGCCCAAAGCGAGCCTTCCAAGCCCGTTGGCATTTACGAGTACTCCAGGTCCGCCAACCCCAACAGAGACAACTTCGAGCAGGCGGTGGCGACGTTGGAAAAGGCCAAGTACGCCGTGGCCTTGGCCTCGGGCTCGGCCACCACGTCGTTGATTCTCCAGTCGTTGCCCATGGGCTCGCACGTGATCTCGGGCGGAGACGTTTACGGCGGCACGCACAGATACTTCACCAAGGTGGCCAACACGCACGGCGTCGAGGTTTCCTTTGTGGGCGACTTGGCCAAAGACGTACAGAGCGCGTTGCGCCCTGAGACTGCGTTGGTGTGGTTGGAGACGCCTTCGAACCCCACGTTGTCGGTCACGGACATCGCTGCGGTCAGCGCTGTCTTGAAGGCACACAACGAGAAGCACGGCAAGAACGCGTTCATGGTGGTCGACAACACGTTCTTGTCGCCTTACGTGTCCAACCCATTGGTGCACGGTGCGGACGTGGTCATCCACTCCATCACCAAGTACATCAACGGCCACTCCGACGTGGTGGGCGGTGTGTTGGCCACTAGCTCCGACGTCTTGCACGAGAAGTTCCGGTTCTTGCAGAACGCCATCGGCTCCGTGCCCTCGCCCTTCGACTCGTGGTTGGCCCACAGAGGCTTGAAGACGTTGCACTTGCGTGTCAGACAGGCCAGCTCCTCGGCACAGAAGATCGCCGAGTACTTGTCCCAACACGAGGGCATCATCAGCGTCAACTACCCCGGTCTCAAGAGCCACCCCAACCACGCGGTTGTGCTCAAGCAACACAGAGACGGCTTGGGAGGCGGTATGATTTCCTTCAGAATCAAGGGCGGTGCCGACGCTGCGGCCAAGTTCACCTCCACGACCCAGTTGTTCACCTTGGCCGAGTCCTTGGGCGGCATTGAGTCCTTGATCGAGGTGCCTGCGGTGATGACGCACGGCGGCATTCCAAAGGCCGAGAGAGAGGCCAACGGTGTGTTTGACGACTTGGTCAGAGTCTCGGTCGGAATCGAGGAGACCGACGACTTGTTGAACGACATCAAGCAGGCTTTGGACAAGCTCGCCGCTTAGAGCGGGTGTTGTGCAGAGCGTTTATAGACAAACTTTTGCGACGCTTGGTTCCGGGATGTAGTCCAGTCGTTGATTCGAGTACGTTCTTTGCATGTAGGCTAGCCTGGCGGCTCTTAGACGAGACGGCGGAATAAGCGGTCAATCGAACTGAGCGTGTAAGATCCTACGCAGAGATGCTTCCATGCTCATATGGGAGCGCTGCTGTAGGGTTGCTTCTCAATATGCGATCCATGTCTCAAGCGGGAGTCTACCACTCAGATCCAGGGAAATTACACCAGATTATTCTCAGGGATTGTGTTTTGAAAAAACAAGTAAGTTGATGCCCGGGCCGGTCTATACTCGGAGATATTTGTTGTTGATGTGGGGCCTGAGATCCCCAATGTACAAGCAGGCATGGTGAAGTCAATCGACTAATATACGCACTGAACACCACCCCTTCGTTCTTCCATGCCGTAAAGTCCACCCATCCCCAAAATGAAGAAACACGTGCCGCCCCTACAACTCACCCAGGATTCTACAACTGAATTCGACCTTTTCTTGCTCAATCTTACAATCGATCAAAACTGATGGGTATGCGGCAAACTATCGATTGGGCCTGTGTATAAATGGCCCGGGCTTCCGAACATACACCATGAGTTTGAGGCCGTCATCTGAATACAGCATGGTTCAGCATGCACTTTTGCAACCCGCCGAATCTGCACCCGCTCCCAGGCCAGGCTCTTGAGAGGCGCCTCCACGCCCAAAGAAGACCTCCAGCCGACCTGCACACAGCGCATATTCGGTATCACCGTGCCGGCCAATGATGGCCGGGAGAATCCCGCCGCGTCGGGAGATGCACGGGTGTGGCCCGCCAGAGTCACCCAGCGGTCGTGCGCGACACCCCTCACGCCAGCCAATCGCACCGTGTCTTTTCAAGGTTAGCGCTCATATTGAAAAACAATTTGGCCTGTGCTCACGCAGGTCCTGGGCCAAAAAAAAAAAGACCACCTCCCTACCGGAAAGGACGACGCCAGGAAAGATAGCAATACTCCTTGAACACACGTGCCGCTGAATTCTGAAACCTCACTTTCGAATCCACGTGTCTTGTCGCCGCTCTTGCTTTTCTCCACACTTTGCATCGTCTTTTATAATACTCGGCAAAGACACTGTATAGACTCTTCCCGCCTATACACCACATCCACTTTGCATTTGGGCGATTTCTGATCCGGAAAACCCATCACCTTCCCTCCCTTTCATTTCTTCCCGAAGAAAATGTTCAAGTCCGCTAGACTTTCGTCGCCTTTGGCGCAGAAATTCATCGCCTCTGCCGTCGGTGTTTCTGGTTTGACTGCCTCGTACGCCTTGTACCAGGACAGCGTGACCGCCAGCGCCATGACAGCCGCCGAGCATGGCTTGCACCCCCCTGCTTACGGGTGGTCGCACAACGGCATGTTCTCGACATTCGACCACGCGTCCATTAGAAGAGGCTACCAGGTGTACAAGGAGGTCTGTGCGGCGTGCCACTCCATGGACAGAATTGCCTGGAGAAACTTGGTGGGTGTTTCGCACACTGCCAGCGAGGCCAAGGCGTTTGCCGAGGAGTTGGAGTACGACGACGAGCCGGATGACGAGGGTAACCCAAGAAAGAGACCCGGTAAGTTGGCCGACTACATCCCAGGCCCATACCCCAACGAGCAGGCTGCCAGAGCCGCCAACCAGGGTGCTTTGCCCCCTGACTTGTCGTTGATTGTCAAGGCCAGACACGGTGGCTGCGACTACATCTTCTCGCTTTTGACCGGCTACCCCGAGGAGCCTCCTGCAGGTGTGGTGATGCCCCCAGGATCGAACTACAACCCATACTTCCCCGGTGGCGCCATTGCCATGGGCAAGGTGTTGTTCGATGACTTGGTTGAATACGAGGACGGCACGCCTGCCACGGCCTCGCAGATGGCCAAGGATGTGTCCACCTTCTTGAACTGGTGCTCTGAGCCAGAGCACGACGAAAGAAAGAAGTGGGGTTTGAAGGCCATCATTGTGACCTCCTCGTTGTTCTTGTTGTCTGTCTGGGTCAAGAAGTTCAAGTGGCAACCAATCAAGAACAGAAAGTTTACGTTCAACCCTCCAAAGAAGTAAGTCGTGTAAAAAGATAGAAGCTGTTCAATAAAATCTCCCAGATCGCAATCTCGCCGTAGTCTGGCCGCGATGTGCCAGTATGTGCATGAAAGGCCATTTCACTTCTTCCAGTCTTTGACATTCCGGATGTCCCTATGGGCAGTTCTCGGGCTAGCCTGACTTGATCCGTGACTTCAGATGACGGACGGGCGAAAGTAGAGGATCGTGTCCCTATGTTTATGAGTCCAGTTCCTCATTTCGGAAGCGCCTGTGTGATCCAGCTCGAAACTGCTTGATTTGTTCCACCGGGATTGCGGGCGGTTCTTCTCGAGTGCCTGCTTTCAGAACGAAGTCATTGATGACGAGCCCGACAAAACACTGGCATCATTGAATGAACGGGTGGTCTAAAATAATAGACGGGCATTAGCTGCACCGGCTCCAATCGAAAAAGAGCCTTCAGTCTTGTCTGAATTATAAGGTATACGAAGCGGAGACCTTGGGACAGGCACACAAGAACATAGGCACGAAATTTGAAAAGCAAGCGGACACAAATAAGGATCTGATAGAAGTCGAACGAAACGACCGGTGCATTGCCAAGTACTTATCAGGGCGTTTGCAAGTGCATTCGAAAATTGTCATCGGAACAGCACCCGAGGTGATTTATTTATATGCCATATGTAGCCGACTAGCACATCGAAATTTGCTTATTCAGGTACTGATGGTGGAGGCTTTGTAGAATTCTGTTGGAGAGTAATCAATTCTAGCTATGATTCATCTTGAACCACTTCGCAGTATAAAGTCTTAAAAGCTTATATCAGTTAGACATTCCTTTCTGTTCAATGTCACTCGAAAACACTCAACTTGATAAGAAGGCAGAATTAGGAGGAAGAAGCACGCTTAGACAATGATGACAAAAGAGTTTCCGTTTTTTTTATCCAGACTCATCCAAAAGGACATTCAAAATACTGTTTCTACAAACCATTAGAGCATGCTACGAAATACAAGCCACTAAGATACAATGTATTCTATGCCCATAAAACCTTGGCTCTGCGAGGAATTCTCACTGAATGTCTTTGCTTTATCGTGATACTTTTTGCTCTTTCCTAATCGTTCTTCGACACTACTATTCGATTTGGGGAAACGTATGTATCATCAAGGGAACAACCAGAATATCCAACTAATTCAGGCAGTAAACATCAACTTGAATAAATTTTTTAGACAAGTTATTATTTACACCGGGCTCAATGATCCTTGTACACGAATTCCAAGAAGCCAGAAATGCATTAATTTCTACATTGACATCAGCGTGCGACAATTGTGCTTCGGAAAAGTTCACCATTTGTACCGTTCTTGAAATTTCCGAACCTCGCCGGTGTGGGTTTGCGAATATGTAGATCAACAAGGATAGAGAAAACCAAGAGAGTACAAGAAGCTTAAACGGTGAGGGTGTGCAATCGAACTAGCCCTCGCGAGAGGCAATTACTTGAATATTTGCGAATGTTTTCCTACAGAAGTTGACTTGATGATTTGTCTATGCTTTTAGCCACACATCTTATTCTTAACTGGTTGTAGAATCAGTTTCTGAATCCACATGGCGCACACAAATCAAGTGCTGCTGCTCTGTCACTCAGTTCTTCCGCATATTTTAGTAAATTGATGATGTATATTGATATTTAGTAAACGAGCGAAATAATCATTAACGAAAGCGAAGAGAACAGAGTTCTTGAGGAATGACTCTCTTTAAACGTTTTAGGCAATGACACAGGAGGAGTACCAGCCAGTTTTAGTGGTGGCAGTTAACCAGTTGTCCTTGTTTGGGGCAGAAGAGGTTTTGTTGGAGGATTGAGGAGCAGCCATTTTGTCAGTATTGTTTGTTTCTTTGTTTGTTTTAATAGATTAAAATTCGACCTGTTTAAGAGTTAAGCCTCAATTATATACTTTTCAAGAAGCACAATTCGCTCGTACTGCAAAAGGGTATGTTCTTCACAGTATGTCAGACGCTCTTGCCGTTTTAGTCCATGACAGTGCGCTGAAAGGGTAGATCCACAGCTTTGACACACCGTATGCATTAAGATGGAAGAGTTCGAACAAAATGTGGACGGTTTCTCTGCGTATGAGTTGAATTCTCCAAATCGGGTAAAATCGTCTTTCTCTGAAACTTCATAATACCGTTTCTTTATGAACAATCCTGATACTTGCGCAGAGAGCAGAAGAAAATGACATTGTAGTAGTACAATTCGACAGCCAGAGGGATTTATGAAACATTTTTAGTGTGAAAGATATGAAATGGCTAGCGAGCAGTTTCAGGTGAAATTCTGCAATGGGTCAAAGCCTTCTACTCCATTTTTATAATTCAAATTTTAACTTCTGATCAAAGTAAGTACCGTTCGACTCTCTTTTTATTGTTTAACAAAAAAGGTATATGACTCTGAGATTGTAACCATTAAATAATATTGGCAGCTGAATATCAAGGAACAACAATTTTGTGAGTTCTTTAAGAACTTATTAGTCACTCGGATTTGACCTGCTACACCCAGGATTCGTCTTGGCCCTCATTGGTTTATTAAAAAAACGATGAATGACCACTGAGGTTTCACAAAAGTCCAATTTCGTGACATTTTACTGTCAGAACATATTTAAGTGCCCCAATAGGGCGAAACAATTAAAGCATCTTGAAAAATTAACTTGCACACGGAAAGATATATAACGAAAATGCTCCAAGCATGATGCGGGAAAGGATGAACAGCGATGGATTTCAACATAAAGCGGAAGTCCTAGCTTAGGATCGAGAGCCCATGCTCTTCATCATCTAAGCTTGTGGTATGTTTGGAGAATGCGGAAGTATTCGGTTGTGAGATTCCTTTGCGGCAAAAGGAAGTTGCGAGATGGCTCGAGGGCACTGAAAGTGATAATCGGATCACGAACTGGTATTGACGATTTTTCCCGAAAAATAGGGTGTTTCAATTGAACTGAACTAAAGTTTCTTATTAAACAGGCATAGTCTTTCTTTACTTCCACCAGGAAAAAAAAATTCTCAGATATTCTCATTGGATGTTTCTTGATGTGGTCTGAAAATCCCATTACATCAGCTCTTCGTTTTAGAAAATATGCACTTCAAGGGTACCTGGGAAGTTTTCATTTCTAGGGAGCGTAGATAACATCTGATTCAACAAACAAACCTGCTCTTCACTAGAAAGGGCACTCTGTCTCCATCAAGTTCTAGTATGTCTGATAATTTGCAATTGGGATCTTCACCGTGAAGAACACAAAATATGCAGAACAAAGTGCAATGAAAAGCTGCAGTTCTCCGCAAATATTTTCCTAGGTAATTTAGTAGTGAATTTGACCCGCACTCAATGAATCTGCATTTTCTCTAGCCGCATCTTTCGAGATTTATGGAAGACGGGTTCTACGATCAAGAGAAGATTCATGATTCGAATTGAATATTTCGTATAGTTTTTCCTGGAACTAGAGGCAAAGCCCTATCCCGCAAAATGGTACGTGTGTAGGTCCTCAAAAAACCCCAATTTGGCAACTTCGCCTTCTAGAGTTGCTCGGTTGGGGGCCCTGCGTCAGCCACGTCCTCTTGTATTAAGCGGCGTATTAGTACTGAGAATACGACTCACAGCCAGTAAAAAATGTTCCGCTGCTTGGAAAACCTTGGGGTTCGCCATGGCAACAAGGACGTGACTCGTAAATGCTTTCTCCAGTTGCGTGTAGAAACTATGGACACAATTGTTCGCAAGCGGCTCTACCCCAAGCGCCTTTTTTTCTGCGGGAATTTCGGCGAAAATTACAGCGGCAGTGCCTGCCAAACAAAGAGGCTTCGCTGAAATACGCGCTCTCATTGGCTGCCTCGCGAAGAAGCTCGCCGAAATCGAGCGCTGCAGACGTTTTGTCCTCGTTCGCATATATATAAAGATATCTCTGCTCTTACCCCGTCTGCGCTTTTTGTCGAGATTATTGCGCACAAACATACAAACCACCTTTGCTCTTCAGCTCCCTAATTTCTGCATTCAGCTGTAAGAGCCTCTGAACTGAGTAAGACAAATCACCGCATTTCGTCTACTGTTTTTCTATTCTCCTTCAATAGCTCTGGACGCATATTTTCACCACATACATCATGACTCTGTCTCCTGTAACTTCACAGGACAGTCTCATCAGTCATAGCAAAGATGCTCAGGCAGCACTGATAAGTCAAGTGGATTCGTCGTTGGCGTCGACATCTGAAAACACCTTATATCTGAGCAACATTGCGCCCAATAGATATGTCATCTTGCTTACTTTGGCCTCTTCTATCTCAGGATTCATGTTTGGTTACGACACCGGCTATATTTCCGCTGCGTTGGTGCAAGTAGGCACGGATTTGCTGAACAAGGTGCTCACAAGTGGCGAAAAAGAACTCATCACGTCGGCAACTTCGCTCGGAGCGTTTCTCGGCGCAATCTTGGGCGGGATCTTGGCCAACTTGGTTGGTAGAAAGAAGGTCATTTTTGGCTCGAATGTCTTCTTTATCATCGGCACAATCGTGCAGCTCGTGGCCAAGACCGTGTGGACCATGATTGCCGGCAGATTCGTGCTCGGATTCGGTGTTGGGTCGGCGTCATTAATTGCGCCGCTTATGCTCAGTGAATTAGCCCCCGCAAAATACAGAGGACGTCTCATTGTGACAAACTGTATTTTCATCACCGGCGGCCAGTTGGTTGCATACTTCATTAACTGGGGCCTCACGAGAGTCGACCACGGCTGGCGTATATCTGTGGGTCTCTGCATGGTGCCTGCTGTCGTCCAGCTGGCTCTCTTTGTTTTTCTCCCCGACACGCCCCGCTACTATGTGATCAAAGGCGACAATGCCCGTGCAAAGGCCGTGTACATGAGGGCTGAGTCCAGTGCGTCTGACGCAATGGCCGATGCCGTGATTCAGGACATGATTGCATCTAACTCGACAGTGCCAGGAAGCCCCCTTGTGCAGATCTGGAGATCCGTCAAGCTCACTCATACCAATCCTGCCAACTTCCGGGCCCTCATTTTGGCCTGTGGTTTGCAAGGCATTCAACAGTTCACTGGTTTCAACTCGTTGATGTACTTCAGCACGACTATTTTCGAAACGATTGGCTTTGAGAACTCCACTGCCGTGTCGATCATCATTGCTGCAACGAATTTCGTGTTCACGCTCATCGCCTTGGTCATCATCGACATTGTTGGCCGCCGCCGTATTTTGCTTTTCGCCATTCCTGGTATGTGTATCGCCATGGTTGTATGTGCAATTGCTTTCCATTTTCTTGGGGTTGTGTTTAACTCGAATGCCGAGGTTGTTGTCCAGACAACCGGTATTTCTGGCTGGGGAATCATCGTCATTCTTGGCATGGTGGGATTTGTGGCTTCGTATGCAATTGGAATCGGAAACTCGGCCTGGACTGGTGTGGAGTTGTTTTCCGATGTGAATGTCAGATCTGTGGGTGGAATGTACGCTGCCGCAACAAACTGGGCCGGGTCCTTGATCATTGCGTCTACATTCTTGACGATGTTGGAGAACATCACCCCCTCAGGAACCTTTGCATTTTTTGCTGGGTTGTGTTTAATTTCTTTCTTGTTCGTTTACTTCCTCCTTCCGGATGTTGCCGGGTTGCAATTGGAGCAGACCAGCGAGCTATTGCAGGGTGGGTTCAACGTCAAGAAAGCAGGACAGTTGTCGAGAGAGGCTAGACGCCTCGCAAACCTAAAACCTGGCAATGAGTCAGTATAATCATTAATAAATTTGCCGCGGAAGTGGCTACCTGGAATATTCATATTTTCTCCAAAGGATAACTGTAGACGCTGTAGATGAACAATAGCGTTATACTGAACGCGTAAACTAGAGAAGAGATGGATATGCGCCGCACTATTGCAAAGTAAATGCCAAATCTTCGTGGGATCCTTTTGTTATAATCAAGCACTTCCATCATTGCCGAACATGTTTTGTTTTGCGAATAGAATCGAATACTTTGTCCTGGGCTCCATCGACCCTCGGCGAGAAGACTCATAACCATGCGACGAGTCGCACGCTCGCGGTCCATGAACATTCGTCATGGTATTTCGGACTTGCGAGCCACTCGACGTAGAACTCAGTGAAACTGCTCCAAAATGCCCACGCTGCCGAGCAGAAAAGATGCGGATATAACAGCGGGAAATCCCAAGCTTCAGTCCATCTCGCAGTTCGAGTCCATGGCCCGCTTGTCGCAGTTCGAAATCATCAAGAAGATCGGCCAGGGTACATTTGGTGTGGTGCAGAAGGCACGTGATAGAAAACTGGGCAAGCTAGTGGCGTTGAAGCAGCTTATCAACCACTCGGCAAAAGAGGGCTTTCCCATCACGGCCATGCGGGAAATCACGATTTTGAAGCGGCTCAGCCACAAAAACGTGTTGAAGATTGAGGGCATGATTCACGAGGAGCCGAAAACGGCGTCTCCGCAGGACATCATTTCACAGAGGGGCGTGTTCTACACGGTGTCGCCTTACATGAGCTCTGACTTGGTGGGCTTGCTAGAAAACCCGGCGATAGACCTCGACTTGCCGACCAAAAAGTGCATTCTACAACAGCTTCTACAAGGCATAGATTATGTGCACCAGCAGCGGTATTTGCACCGTGACATCAAGGCGGCCAACATTCTCATGGACCCGACGGGCGTGGTGAAAATCGCGGATTTCGGCTTGGCCCGCGTGTACCATGGCCCCATTCCGTTGAAAGGCAAAGGTCCCGGTGGAGGCGAGCGGAATTACACGGCACTTGTTGTCACTAGATGGTACCGGCCCCCCGAGTTGCTTTTAGGGGAGCGCAAGTATACGACGGCGGTCGACATGTGGGGTGTGGGGTGTGTATTTGCGGAGCTCTTCACAAAGAAACCGATTTTGGTGGGCTCCTCGGACCTGAACCAGTCACAGATCATCTTTGACTTGGTGGGCCCACCGAACCGCGATAACTGGCCCGATGCCTCCCTTCTTCCGAATAAGCCCGACTTAAACATTGGTCTCACCTGTCGACGCACATTGGAGACGCGGTTCGAGCCACTCTTGGGGAATGTGGGCACAGGTTTGTTGGGCAAGTTGCTTGCGCTAGACCCGAAAAAAAGGTACAATGCGCTCGACGCATTGGATCATGAGTACTTTGCCACGGATCCTAAGCCAATTCTCCCGGAGCAGATCCGCAAATTTGAGGAGAGCCACGAGATAGATCGGGAGAGATTCAAAAGACTCCGATCCCTGGGTCCGCCCAGGGATCATGTACTCAAGAGACCGCGGGTCGAACAGGACAGAAGTCATCGGTCTGTGCTGCAAATTCGAGATGGAAACGGGGCCCAGCAGCCTGCTCAGCATCTGGCCGTGAAACCAGACTATTGCTAGATATCTTGAGACTGGAGCATAATCGACTCACTCATCACTTTTCTGTATTGACCATGAGCTGAGCCTCGCTTGATTCAATTCGCCGATAAACGGCGGCTCAGGCAAAATTACTCAACATGGACACTGGCTACTGCTGGGCGCAAGAAAAATTGATTCACAGCTTTCCAAACTCGCATACACTCGGCTAAGTCGAGCACATCATACATTCTCCATTATACAATAAATTATTCATGTTAACCTTGATACAAACATGCTGGATCTTCTGCTGGAGCGACGGTCCCATCTGAACTTTATTCTACAAATGAGATATCCTGAAGGTCTGGCCAAATCGTGTTTGCTTGGGATTGACTTTGTGAACTCAAGTTATGGAATATCGAAGAAAGGCCGGAGGAAATTGGGCATACAATGTTAATTTCATTTGCGAAGAATTGATGAAGAAGAGGCGATTTTCAGTGATGGTAGACCATGAGATCTGAGACTTTTCTCTTGTCAAGCGGGCCATGACTCGATCTGCCTGAACCAAGTTTTGAAATTGCAAGCTGAAAAACTCAGGTTGCCCTTTGAAACAAAGTCTAACGTACACCATTGGGGTGTGAGAGAAGGCCATGTCGATAAATCATGAGGTTGGTTTAGCCTGTCTCTGAGTTTCGTCGAATCGTGGAGCAATGACACGATAAGTGCTAGATTATGTGTGCCACGACATTATCCACGTGATACTTGATTCAAGCAGCTGCTAGATCAACTCCAATGCTATTCTTTTGATTCCCGGTAAACATGCTCTTCCTCACTGTAATATTTCGTTTTGAAGCTACGGCGTTACAATGCGAGTCAGTTGTCATAGAAATACAGTTTTTACTTGCGGATATGATATAAAATACGTTTCGAAATCAGTTTTTGCATTGCAGGCTGACCGTCAGTAGTTTCACACTGGGGGCAAGGATTTGGGGTATTGTAAAAACCAAAAGCAAAAGCAAAAGCAAACCGAAACAAAAGAAGACACCCTTCAGAAACTTGTGACCATCTGTAACTTCTCAAGGCATGATAACGACAGTTGCAGCAGCATAATCAGAAAGCGCTAATCGTACTATTGATGCTGGAAAGACCTATCCAACATGCGCCCAAAGAGGATATCAGTTTGTAAGATTGCTGATATCTTGGATTGACGCTAATTCATACCAAGTTTATGAACCGCTCTTCCAGCGCCGCAACAATTAGTTCGCATGTACACTGAGCAGATCGCCACTTTGTCGTCAGTATCTCCAACATGAAGAGCAGTATCTGCCTGTATGGTCTTTAAGTAGTCACGTGGACTTTTTTTGGGATCCGTTACATCATATAGGCAAAATTAGGGCTTTAATTCGGACTTAATTTTCATAAATCTGAATTGTCTTTATGGAGCCGCAATCACAAAACACAAGTCATGTCTTTGCTGAAAATAGAAAGCAAGAGAGGTCCCCTTACGTTTGAGAGTTACGCTTTATCAAATCAGATCATCATTCATTTCAAGTGTTGTACATGCTTAATATCGTTTACTATGTAAACATCTCATCAACGGAGCTTCCCAAATAAACCTTGAGTGTCTTTCTTGTTGCAGGTAAAATACGGGCCTTCACCAATGGATCGACGTCCTCGGATCTTAGTCTTTCATATGCCTGAAACCTATGACATCCACCGAAGGCAAAGTAGAAGCTTTTCCCTTGCTCTCTCACCAAGAACACATCGGTCGGAGGCAATTCACCTGCAGTCATATCTTCTATTTTACACGTAGCTGACTCCATAGGTGTACCATTGAGAGTCGATACCATTGCATCGATTTTCTGATAATCTAACACTGGGGGAATTGGCCTGCGGATCTGGCTAAGCGGGACGAGCTCCTCTTTGAGACTCGAGGATTGCAATGACATAATTATTTAAACGACTTTGTTAAAATTTTAGAGGAAATTTAAGTTATGATACGACTATGGGGTGTAGGAATTGTGTCTTTTATATCATTCTTAAGATTGCGTTGATTGCGTGCGCATTATTAAGCTGCAACCTGGCCAGATCAAGTCGATAGGACTCTATATGCAAGAAACAAAGTGTATTAGTGAGCGGCTACAAGTTGACATTAGAAGTATAAATCTTCCATCATATTCCCCCACTTTGACTGAGAAGTACACTGTTGCTATTTAAAAATCAAGAATGAACATGTTTTCGGGTAAAATCAGTTCTGGGTTAGACGCAATTGCACATTGAAAGAAACAGACCATGTTGGTAAACCAGGAGCATATAAAAATAATAGGTATTGAGTCCGATTTTCCTGAAGTATTTTTTCCCCGCAGTATTTTGTGAAGAAATCTCTTGCCATGCACAAGAAATTTCAAAGTGTGATCGTGAAACGCAAGCTTCTCATTGACTTCATCCTTCTCATTCTCTGATTATCTAGATAAGGAAACAAGTACAAGGCATGCACATAGCGCATGCGATTTCCGAGGGTACCGGCCGCTTAGAGGCGCACATATTCCGATCTCGGCGAACTGCATGAAAAAGGAAAGCACAAAATTCTGATTGATCTGTATTGAGGCCATCACACGAAGACCTTTGAAGTGGCACAAAATCCTTCAAAACCGAGAGAATTCACGGGACTCCTTCACTACTGGACATTTTTTTTCCTGAAGAATTTCCGAAGCCTCATCATTGAGCCTATCTCAAGCTTCCCTTAAGCATTGAAAATTTTCGTCAGGAACTAAGACAAAGAGGTATCAACTTGCGTTTCCTTACCATAACTTCGTTTTGCTAAGAGCTCTGCACCAAGAAATCATATTTTGAGTTTAAAAGAACGGTCAAAAGGTTTTTAAACCTTTTTAATTTTTTTTTGACTTGGCGCGATCTTATCATTTTGATCTAGACCAGTTTATCTATTTCATCAGCACATAGCTAGCCTGAAAATGTTAGTGATACAGTTGCTGATAATTGTTCTCACGATATCCCCGTTATGGCTCAAAACACAGAGACTACTAAAGTTGCAGCTTTATCTTCTCATAGCGGCTGTTATATATGCGATGGTGGCGATGACCCCAAGCAGGGCCCTTAATGGGGCACCGTTCATCAAATTTCCATCCCTGTTGATTGCCCAGCTTTCATGCAGCCAGGTGATTTCTCAGGTAAACTTCTGCCCTTCCGAGGATGGGTCTCCAAGAGACTTTGGAGATAACTCATGCATTTGTAGAAATGAAAATGCCTTGGCTACTTTGGCTTACTGCTACCAAACTGGATACCCCCAAGAGATTGAATCATTTATCAACATGTGCAATAGAGACTATAACACGTCTTTAAACCAAGGCCTGATTGACGCAGCTCTTGAAAAGTACTATACTGCAGCAAAGGAGCTTAACAATAGCTCACATTTACGCTACGGAATTGTTGTTGATTTTCCCGTAAAACTATCCAGCTTCACCATCTTTCTATACAAGAAGTCGTACGACCAATTTCTTGGAAATTATAACCGATCCATTGACTATGGCTGGTACATGGTTGTGTACATGATGTTCGTGTTTACACTAGCAGCGATTGGAAACTGGAGCAAGTTGCTTGGTCCCAAACTTGTCAAAAAATTCACAGGCCCTATTCTGCGTTGGACCCGGTCTCGTATAACTCTACCGGCACTTTCTGGTACAGAACGAACGAAGGAAAAACATCTTTGGAAGGTCTTCGGCTATTTGCCACCCACTCGCGCAGAAACCTTGGCTCTAGGTTCCTTTTCATTATTAGCGTTGCACCTCTGTTTCTACAAAATTCACTTTGTGCAACATGACCCAATCTTCGGAACAAAGCTTGCTGCTTATATGAGATATTTTGGCGTACGATCAGGAATTATAGCCAGCTCTTTGCTTCCGCTTTCAGTGCTTTTCGCAGGACGAAATAATATTCTTCAGTGGTTTACCAGGTGGGAGTATTCGACATTTGTGATGTTTCACCGGTGGATTTCCCGTATCATGGTGCTTCTTGTCATTGTTCACTCTGTAGGGTACAGCAAGAATCTTAAATTTCCGCCGAATCACATGGAATCATACATTATTTTTGGCGTGGCGGGAACTGTGTCGGGATTGGCAATTCTCGTACAGGGATTGTTGGTATTGAGACGGAAGTGGTACGAGGCGTTTCTTGCAATCCATATAATTTTGGCAGCCGCTTTTCTCATTGGTGCATGGCTCCACGTTAAGGACTTCAGATTTGTATGGTACTACTATGTATCTGCATGTCTTTGGATGTTGGACCGTGTGATTAGAATTCAGCGTCTTTGTGTTTTTGGATTCCCACTAGCAAGGGTGCAGTTATACGAAGACGACACTTTGAAGTTCCGTGTGTCTATGCCACCTGGATTTCATGCCGTTGGTGGTGGCCACTGCTTTGTCCATTTTCTTCGTTGGTCATGTTTCTGGCAGTCACACCCATTCACATACACCGTAGTGAATGGCGACATTGTGTTTTACGTCAAGGTGAAAAAGGGTGTGACAGAATCACTCAAGAGGTATCTCGAAGAAAACCCATCAATATCCGCAAACATGCGAGTTGCTATCGAGGGATCTTATGGAGAAGCAACTCCCGCATTGAGATATGACACAAGTGTTTTCATTGCTGGTGGAAATGGTATCCCAGGGATTTTCGCCGAAGCAGTTGAAGTGGCTGAATACCACAAGGGCCACCGGAAAGTGAAGCTTATTTGGGCTGTGCGTGAATACAAATCGCTTCTTTGGTTTTATGATGAGTTGCAAGATCTTGCGAAACTAGACATCGAGACCGAGATCTATATTTCGAGACCCCATTCAAACCTTTGCACTTCAGTGTCAGACAAACTGGTTTTGCTTGAAAATACGTACACACACCGCAGCTACCAGTCAACCGAGGCCATGGAGGACCCTATCCAAAAAATTCACCACGACTTAACCAACGTGGTTTTCAAGAAAGGACGACCAAATATCGCTAAAATTGTGGAGATTTCTTGTGAAGAATCTTTGGGATCAACCTGTTTTGTTACGTGTGGCCATCCAGATATGGTTGATGACATTCGAGACCAAGTGGCGCAGAAAGTTGCGGTCTGTCCCACCCGCGTGGACTACTTCGAACAGTTACAAGTTTGGGCATAGCCGTATTTCTTACTATGGGTGCTCGATGACCCTTGTGAGATCTGGGTGCAACTAAATACATGTTCTTATTAAAAAAAACGGGATTGCCTCATGGGTTTGACCTTTGTGACATCACATATGCGTCAGCAAAGTCATGGAAAGAGGAGATCCATGTGAATTCTTTCTTGTCAGAAGTCTTGTCAGACTCTACATGATAAGAAATCTGACATCAAGAAACAAACGGGCATGAGATTATTAGGAATCAGGAATGAAGAAGTAGAGGTTAACGAATAATAAATTGCAGTTCTAGATTAAGTGACCAGAGGCACCAGGCCCCAATGTCAATATCACTCATGAAAATGCGACTTCCCCCGTTCTTTTCTGCTGAATACAATATAATGGTTCTTAAAAAAATGCAACATGAAACATTCTTTTCTTTTGATAAAAGGAACAGAATTATACAAATAACATGTATGATAAAACCTTTAAACAGCTCTCAGATATGTTTTTTTTTTTTGGCAGATTCATCTGATTAAAGGGGCAAAACTATATAACAAATATATATAAAAAACCTTTAAAACAGCTCCCAGCTACGTACCAAGTGTCTTAGCTCGGCCCGTCCCCTTCCGTTAGTTTTTTTTTTTTGGTAGATTCATCTGATTAAAGGGGCAAAACTGTATAACGAATATATATAAAAACCTTTAAACAGCTCCCAGCTACGTACCAAGTGTCTTAGCTCGGCCCGTCCCCTTCCGTTAGTCACGGCCTGGACAGTCCTCATGGCACGTATCTGTTTACGTATAGTCACGGCTTGACACACCTAGTGTCCCGAAAGATGTGTGTTGATTTATAGCGTTACAATAATATCAATTCGGCATCCGAAGTCACATTGGCATTAAACACAAAAGTTAATTTTACGTTTAGATCTATCAATTTATCTAAGTGCAGGATTCCACAGCAGAAGCCTTTATGGCCAAGTTGGTAAGGCACCTCACTAGTAATGAGGAGATCGTCAGTTCGAATCTGGCTGAAGGCATTTTTGCTTCGCACATTGATTTTTGATGTTCATAAGGTGCATTTATATGCGTTCTCAGCGGAAGCTTGATGCCACCATTCGGTCAGCAGATCATCCCCAGCAATCATGAACCCGCCACTTTCCCTACCGCCCAACTTGGCAACACAACCCCCGCT